CATCAGGGGAGGAGCTGGGCTTGAACCCATGTAAGTCTGGTGCACATACCTATGTTTTCTATTTAACCACCTGTTGCTGTTACAATTGCTGTGTAACGAATCGCCCCAAAACTTGGCATGTAAAACTACCATCCTTTTATTCTGTTTGCAAAGTCTAAATCAGGACGTTAGACAGAGTGGGTGTGATGTGTTTAATCCTAAACCCTGAAAAAGACACACTGAAGTCCTCACCCCCCAGTACCTCAGAATGCAACCTGATTGGGGGACCAGCAGTTAGCGTAATGGCTATGTTGCTGGACTCCCATGTAGTCGACCAGGGTTCGCGTCCCGGACTCAGTGACTTAAAACTCACGCCGGGCACGTGTGCATGCGTGCCCAAGATCCCGAGAGGAAAATGAAGAAGGGATTGCGGAGTGGCCATCTCCCCTGGGGCGGGGGGGGCTGATTTCTCGCTTTCTGTCTCTGTCTCTGTCTGTCAGATGAGCGCACCCCGCCCCCCAAAAAAAAAAACCCTAAAAAAAAAAAAAAAAAAAAAGAATGTAACCTGATTGGAAATTGGGTCTCTACAGAGGGAATTACGTTAGTGGGTCCCAATCCAACATGACTGCTATCCTTATAAGAAGGAGAATTTAAAGTTCAGCCAGCCGGGCATGGTACTTAAGGTGCTGGATCCCACATGGCCAAATGTGGAGTTCAAGGCCCAAACCCGGCAGCTTGGAAAACACACCAGCACATGAGCACGTGTGCCCCAAATCCCAAGAGAAGAACAGAGAAGAGATTGTGGTGTAGCCACCCTGCTAAGAGATGGTGTGTGCGTGCTCACGCGCGCTCCCTCTCTCTCTCTCACATAAATGCATGTGCTCTATAGCAAATTTCAAAAATAATAAAGTTGAAAAATAAAAAGGGAGATCTGGACCCAGAGACAGACCCGCACAGGAGGAGGTGATGTAGAGAGACATGACAAGAACATCACGTGAAGATGGAGGACTGGAGTGACACGGGTACCTGCCAGGCAATGCCAGATTGCCTACAACCACTGGAAGCCAAGCCGTGGAGGTGAGAAAGCTCCGTCCTCTATGGTTTGCAGACGAGCACGGCCCTGGCAACACCTTGGTCTCAGATTTTGAGGCGCCAGAGAAACGAGACAATTCATTTCTATTGTGCCAAATACCAGTCCATGGTATTCTGCTATGGCCGCCCTAGAGACTCACACGCCGTAAGGCCGAGGTGAACATCAGGGTGCCAGGCCCTCCGGCCCCTTCAGCTAGTCCCTCTCTCCTTCCGTGTGCTTTACACACTGGATTTCTGCACACGATTTTCTTTGAAGAAGGGTTTCCCTAGTTATAAAAGCACTTTCATTTTTATGAGACGAGAAATAGAAACTGAAGTTCAAAGAGAAGTCAGATTTAACCAAAGTCATCCAACCATTCCGCAGCAGCTTGGAGACACGAACACGAGTTTTTTTGGCTGCCGATCTGGTGTTTGGGGCTTTTTTGTTTGTTTTTAACTTTTTCTAAATTTAATGTGTGTGTGTGTGTTACAGGATGCACGCACTCACCAGAGAGACGAAGTGAGAGATGGCCACTCATGGGAATTGGGCCACACTGCAACTCCTTTTCCCACTTCTCCTCCCCAGGTTTTGGGTAGGCACAAGCGTACAGGTGTATTTCAAGCCACTGGGTTACAAGTGTTCCACACAGTCGGCCATGTGGGGTCCAGCTGCCTTAACCTCGTCATCTGCTGGCCCTACTCCTCTTTTCTTTAGTTTCCCCCACACATCATCTGGGGTGGAAGTCCAGGCACAGTGAGAATACAAACGCATGAAGACCCATGAAAATAAGGGTTTTTTTTGTCTTAGGGTTTTTTTGGGGGTTTTTTTTATTTGTTTTTTTTTGTTTTTTTGGTTTTTTTTGAGAGGGTTTTTTGCGATAGGGTGCATGTGCCCACCAGAAAGACAGAGAGAGAGACAGAAAGCGAGAAATCACCCCCCAGGGGAGTGGCCACCCTGCAATCCCTTCTCCTCTTGGGATCTTGGGCACGCATGCACATGTGCCTGGCGTGAGATCTAAGCCCCCGAGTCCAGGACTCAAACTATGGTCGACTACATGGGAGTCCAGCGACATAGCCATTACACTAACTGCTGGTCCTGAAAGTAAGTTGTTGTTTTTTTGTTTTTTTGTTTTTTTTAGAAAGAGGTTTATGTGGGGGCCGCAAGCAGCGTGGTAGTTAAAGGCACTGGACTCTCATATGGCTGACTATAGTTCGAGTCCCAGACCTGGCAGCTTGCTTGCTTGCTTTCTCTGGTCACAATTGAAAAACAATGATAATAATTCTTTAATTTTTTTTTTTTTTTTTTTTTTTTTGGCTATAGGCCATGTGCACTAGCTTAGAGAGACAGAAAGAATATAAGAAGTCACCCCCCAGGGGGTATAGCCACACTGCAATCCCTTCTCCTCCATTCCCCTCAGGGGATTTTGGGCACACACACACATTCAACCTGAGTTTTAATCCATCTGGGTTCGAGACTCGAACTGCAGTCAACTATGTAGGAGTCCAACGATATAACCATTATACCATCTGCTGGTCCTTATTATTTTTTTTAAGGTTTTTGCCATAGGGCGTGTACGTTTACAAGAGAGAAAGAGACACACAGAGACAGTGGGAAGAAAAGTGAGAAATGATCCCCCTGGGGGGATGGCCAGGCTGCAATCCCTTCTCCTTTCTCCTCTCAGAATTTCGGGCACATGCGCATGTGCACACCCGCGCACGCGCACACACACACGCACACACCTGTGGCATGATTTTCAAGCTGCCTCCGGGCCTTGAACTGCAGTCAACCATATGGGAGTCCAGTGCCTTAAACACTGCACCACCTGCTCCTCCCCCCCACACACACCCCGTGACTGTTTGGCAGGCGCCATTTTGCATGGCTCCACTTCGAAAGCTCCTTTCCCCCAGCGGCCCGTGTTCACCACTTCTGGCGAAAGAGGTGCCCTCTTGCATCAAGCGCCCAGGCTCCAAGGCCAGGCCGCCAGGGCACGAGGACTGGGCAGCCCCTCCCTGCAGTGACCTTACAGGATGCCCTTTGGGCAGAGGTGAGAGGTAGGTGGGGGCTGGCAGAGCAGGCCCAGGGCACAGGGTTAGGCCCTGATAACCCGAGATCAAAGCAGCCTGTCAGCGGTGTCAGCTGAGAGGCAGCCAAGACAAGCTTCACACTGGCTTTATCTCCCTGCTGGCCCGAGAGCAGGGTGGGGACAGCACCGCCGCCACCATGGTTCCCGGAAACTATTTCTGGACACACTGCAGAGACCTTCTGGTGCGTGTGCTCCAGGCTGGCCCTGGGTCGGTCTGCACACATGTGCACCACACGAGGTTTGCTCTGCCACTAGTTCCTTTGGCGTTTTTCTGTTTCTCCCCTAATTTCCCATGTGAATGTATGTATGTGCGCACACACCACGAAGGGTCCCCCCTTCCCTGTAGCATTTCCATTTCTGTTTTGTTGTTGTTATTTAAGAGTTTTTTGGAGGTTTTTGTTTTTTGTTTTTTTTTGCTATAGGGCACGTATGCTCGCCGGAGAGACAGAAAGCAAGAAATCACCCCTCAGAGGGGATGGCCACACTGCAATCCCTCCTCCTCCATTCTCCTTGGGATTTTAGACACACATGACCAGCCTGAGTTTCAAGCCACCGGGTCTGGGACTTGAACTGCTATCAGCCATGTGGGAGTCCAGAGCCTTACCCACCACACCAAATGTTGGCCCCCCTGAATTTCTCTTCCTCTTCCACACCCCAGCACACAGAAGGTAGCTGCAGCCAGACTTACCTCCCTGGTCAACACACACCCACCTGCCCCTTCCTCTCTGGCATTTTCCACTCTTAGTGTTTTCTTCCACTTTCTTTTATACACCTATACGCGCACGCACACACTTGCCAAGGTTATGAGCTCCAGACGCTTTAAAAAGAGCCCAGAGACAACTGCCAATTTAAACAACAAGACCTCCCTTGCCTCCTTCTCCATTATTATGAACTCCTGGACCAGTTTCTACTAGCCAATGTCTGGTTATTTCTTTTCTTACCAGGTGATGACCCCTTCATCTGCAGCTGAAAGAAACAGCTCCTGCTCTTCCCCACCTGTGGCTCCTCTGGCAGAGGAGTGACCCACAGCTGGCTGGGATCAAGCACTTCAACTGCAGCCTACTTCTCAGCATTTTTGAAAAGGAAAGTGGATGAGAGAATGGAAGATCTCCCCTCCCCGCAGGTTATCTCAGAGGTTCCAAAACCTTCCTCACTCCCTAAGTTTGAACTTGCATCTCCACCCTTGAACTCACACATAATTTCTTCACCGTATGTTCAGATAGGTTCTAGGAAAAGGAAAAAGAAGAGAAACCAATGCACCTGCAGGCTTCAGTTTCATCAGAGCAGCCAGGCTGTTAGGGGTGGTGGAAGGGGCAGGAATTGGAGAATGGCTCAGGGAGTCATGCCAATGGCCAGAGGCCAAGAGAACCAAAAGGATTGGTTAATATCCTCACCTCCCGAGTGCTGGAAGACAGCACTGTGGGCCGTGCACAATGTCTAGCACAAAATAAGCACACATCATACATTGCAGCTACGTTTCTCTCAGCCTCCATCTTAACACTCTGCAATGATATCCCCGCTTAATAAACGAGGAAAATGGGCTTCCCGGGAGTTGAGTGACAGCAAACCTAACTACAGCTAGCTCATAAATGCCAGAAGCAGTCTCTTTCCTTTTCCCTACTCTTTCTCCCAAGAAGCAAGGTGGTTGAGGAAAATCATATTGGATCCTTTTGCCTGTTTCACAGACAAATGCACAATTCTGATTTCCGAAATGTGAGTGTGTGTTTAAGATTTTTTTTTTTCGATCCTGGTTGCATCAAAACGTTGAGTAGTAGATCTGAAAGGGCTCAGACAGACCCATTTCTAGGGTGAAAGCAAGTTGCAACAAGCTTGGAAGGGGAGAGGGGCTGCCTCGTTATTACCTACCCTGCACCAGCGTGCTCCTCGACGAGATTATAGCTTCTCAATGCTGCTTTAGAGAAGATGGCTTTCTCTTGGGGGGGATATAAGTATAAGGGAGCTGTCAATCATGGCCTTCCCACCCAAGGGTGGGCTCAAGATCCAAGCTTAGCCAATGAGGAAGCTTGTGAGGCTTCCTCACAAGCCTATCCATTATCTGAGTGGAGGCCTGTATGTTTGTAGCTCATTATTGTCCTCAGCTGAGTTCTTGAGTTTCTGCTGTCCAGTGCCCATGGCCTTGTTTTTTTCCAGAAGCCATGTTTTTCTATTCAACAGGCTCCCCCGTATCCTTTCGGGAAATTCTGTGCATGGGTTGACTCAAGTTGCTTTCTGTCACTTGCAATCAGAGTACTGAGGTGAGATAGGAAACGGCCAGAAACCAGAAGATGGTGTAATGGTTATGTCACTGGACTCCCATGTAATTGACCGTAGTTCAAATCCTGGACCTGGTGTCTTAAAACTCATGCCAGGTTGCATATGTGTGTGTGTGTGCCCAAGATCCTGAAAGGAGAATGGAGAGGAAGGGGTTGGGATTGTAGCATGGCCATCCCCCTTGAGGGGTGATTTTTTGCTTTCTGTCTCTCTGTCTCTCAGGTGAGCCCATGCACCCTATAGTAAAAGTCTCTCTTTCAAAAAAAAGGAAGGTGCTAGGCACACTCAGCGAAGTAGTGGCAGAGGGCAGAGATTAGAACTCACTTTGATTCTTAGTTTGGTGCTCTCTCTGGAGACTGGACGAACCAAATTGGACTTAGTATTTTCTTTAACCATCTGTCTTGCTTAACGGCTCTGAGGTTCATTAGCCATATGTGAAAAAAGTGAGTTATTAACTCAAACACTACAAAAAAAGCATATTTTTCTTTTGGTTTTGCCTTTTGATATAAGGCACATGCACTCACCAGAGAGAGAAAGAGAAGAGAAATCACGCCCCAGGGAAGATGGCCACACTGTAATCCCTTCTCCTCCATTCTCCTCTGGAGAGTTTGGGCATGCATATGTACACAGGGATTTTTTTCAAGTTGTCAAGTCTGGGACTCGAACCACACAGTCAACTGTGTGGAATCTAGTCACCTTAACCTCTATCTATGCCACATACTGACCCCTAAAAGACAAATGTTACAGATCAAAAGAATGGTCAAAGCTCTTTAGATACTCGATTTTTTTTTTTTTTCTTTGAGAAGTTTTGGCTATAGGGTGTGTGTGCCCGGCGTGAGTTTAAGCCACCAGGTCTGGGACTTGAACCGCGGTCAACTACATGGGAGTCCAGCGACATAGCCATTATGCCAACTGCTGGTCCCAATTCATTCATATTCATTCTCTCTCTCTCTCTCTCTCTCTCCTCTCTCTCTCTCTCTCTCCCTCCCTCCCTCCCTCCCTCTCTCCCTCTCTCTCTTCCTCCCTCCCCCTCTCTCTCCCCCCCACAGTCTGTCTTTGGTGAACACAAGTGCCCTATAACAAATTTTAAATAATAATACTAAATTAAAAATTAACTAAGAAAAGGTAAGCATACCTTTAAAAAAAAATCCCAGTAGCCTACCAATTTAGCAATCCCTGCCAAGAAAAACAGTGCTCCAATTTTCCAGCCATGCTGAGTCTGAGGAATGAATTGGCCAGGCTTGGATCACATGGCTATCCATGAACCAATCATTTTGCCCAGGAGTCAGATTGCTCTGATAGGCTAAGCCTTAGTCATGTGCTCACCCTAGGCCTTAGAGATGGAGGTGAGCTCCACTCTGATGATACCGACACAGAGCAGAGGAAGAGCAGTTTTCAAAGATGGAGTGAGTTACACAAAGGAGACTCCTAAGCAGGAAACACTGTAAACCCCTTCTGCGTGTGTCCTGCTGGTTTGTAGTAGCGTAGCAACACAGACAAATGCACAGGTCTGGGTGCTACGTACCAGGGGTTGAAGCCTCCCTCCATCACCTCCATGTGGTAACCAAACCAAGCAACAGCTTCCTTATCAGTAAAGTGGACAGAACACTAACGTCTGCTCACGGATTTCAAAACAGAAAGGATACAAGGACCAGCAGGTGCCAGGGTGGTTAAGACGCTGGCCAACTATGGTTTGAGTCCCGGACCGGGTGACTTGAGACTCACACCAGGCACATGTGTGTGCATGCCCAAAATCCCAAGAGCAGAATGGAGGAGAAGGGATTGCAGTGTGGCTATCCCTCTGAGAGGTGATTTCTTGCTTTTTGTTTCTCTCTCTCTCTCTTCAGCAAGTACATGAGCCCTATAGCAAAAATCTCTCAGAACAAAAACTAAAGATACAAACCTGGGGGCCAGGTGGTGGTACAATGGTAACACAATGAACCCACATGGAAAAGGTTCTGGGTTCATGTCCTAGGACCTCCCTACCTAGGCCACTAGCCCAGCAGGGATGGGGGAGGGTTGGATTACAGCGTGAAGACCCTTTTAGGGGTTCCTATTGCTCTCTCTCATGGAAAAATAAATAAATAAACTTTTTCTAAAATGGAATGCAGGGGCCAGCAGATGGCATAATGGTTAAGACCCTAGACGCACACATGGCCGACCATGATTCAAGTCCCGGACCCAGAGGCTTGAAACTCACTTTCCATCTTTCTCTCTCTCTCACTCTGTCCCTATCTGGTCAAATTAAAATAAAATAAATAAAGATGGAGGAGAAGGGATTGCAGTGCGGCCATCCCCCAGGGGGTGATTTCTCACTTTCTATTTCTCCTTGTCTCTCTGGTGAATGCACATGCCCTATAGCAAAAATCTCCCTCCAAAAAGCAAAAAAGAGACCAGCAGTTAGCGTAATGGCTATGTCGCTGGACTCCCACGTAGTCGACCGCGGTTCGCGTCCTGGACCCGGTGGCTTAAAACTCACGCCGGGCATGTGTGTGTGCGTGCGTGCCCAAGATCCCAAGAGGAGAATGGAGGAGAAGGGATTGCGGCATGGCCATCCCCCCTGGGGGGTGATTTCTCACTTTCAATCTCTCTGTCTCTCTCTCTCGGTCTGTCTGGCGAGCACACACGCCCTATAGCAAAAACCTCTCCAAAAAAAAAAAAAGAAAAAAGAAATGCAAATATAAGGGGACACCTGTCACTTGGACACTAATAAGTCCCTTATTAGGTCACACTATCTAATAAGGAGATTTTGATGGTAATTCCCAGTGCCCATCAATATTCTAATTCCTATGTTCCAGAGAGACGTCTCTGGCCTTTCTCAGGCCCCTTCTTCATTTATTTGCTGCTTTCCCTTCTTCCTTGCACAAATTTAATAAACACACACCCACGTGCACACACAAGTCCAGCCTGCAAAGTAGCTCGCACGTAAAGCAGAGGCGGGGGGTGGGGGGGAAGCCCTGTGGTTCTTCCCCCTCTCACCGTGAGCAACCAAGGGTTAGTGCAGTGGAAAATACACACAATGCTCGGAGGAGGAAAGAGGATATTAAAATTGTAATTTTCCCAATCACATCGAGACGTCTCTCTCAGCGCTAATGACAGGATGCACAGCACATCTGTCAAAAACTGTGCCACGTCTCCCAGCGAAAACCAAACAAATTGAGTTTCTGCTCAGTGACGGCCCAGGCTGAGGCTGCCATCAGCTTCGTTCCAGTATTTTGCCCTTTTCTTCCCCTCTCTAAGGCATTCTGTTTTGGTAGCTGTCTTTGTGCAATTTGCTCCTGTGTCCCCCTTTTTATTCCTTGTTTATCAAGAGCTGGGTCAGACCTCAGCCTGCAGGGACCAGACAGGCCCACGGTCCATCTTCCAGTGTCTCCCTA